GAAAACGAAAAAGAAACGACGACGCGGTCCCATCAACTACCTCCAAATGGCGGTGACGTCAATTGGAATGCGACGTTGCGCGAAAATTAAGATTTAAGGGAGTGGGACAAATGCGACCTTTTTTTTGCGCAGCCGGACATTTGCGCACCTTTTTTTTCCGCACTTAGCCCATTAGCGCACCTTTTTTCGCGTTTTAAAAAAAGCTCTAAAAGCTAATATTAACCGATTTCTATTCCAAAAGTTGTTTTTCTAGGTAATTTTAGGGCGTAGAATCGAAATTTTGGCATATCAGAGCTTGTGAAAACAAACGGACGGAGTTATACAAAGAGAAAAATCGACGATTTTCTGTAATTTGATCTAGCCGTTTTGTCTTTCAAATTGGTTCCACACGCTCTGTTATGTCAAAATCTGAATTCGACACCCTCAAATTACCTAGAAAAACAACATTTGGAATAGAAATCGGTTAATATTAGCTTTTTAGAGCTTTTTTAAAACGCGAAAAAATGAGCGCTAAGGGGGCAAGGTGCGCAAAGGTCCGGGTGCGCAAAAAAAGGTCGCATTTGTCCCACTCCCAAGATTTAACAATAAGATAAAATCAACATTTAAAATTTACGACAGAAATTCAAATTTAATACGAAAACATCTCGAAAAACATCTTTTTTCTCTCTCTGAAGGTCTTTACTCAGATATCCTCATATATCAATTTCAAAATCTTCCACCTTCTACAGCTAATAATTGTTACAACCACAAAGTAAAACAAAATTCTGCTCAAAATTTGAAAAGAATGTGAAAAACCGATTCTAAAACACGTATTGAGCAATGTAAAGTGATAATTTCAAACCCTAACAAGTCTAACCATGACTTGTGAGAGGCAAAACCGTAAAGGACCAAGAAAAGGATAAGGAAAACCCCTGATAATTAGTTGGTGAAGGAAAATCATATTAAAATCGGTGCCAAATCGATAGTCAAGACCAGCTGTGTGTCTGGGTGAGGGGTGTGCGTTTGTCTGTGTGTCTATCCACTCCTGTGTGTCTGGTGTTTGTTCGTGTGTGCGTTGTCCTGAAGGTCCTCTTTTCACGTTTTTTGCGCTCTTTTCCAATCTGGACCCTCCAAAAAGCCTCTTCACTCTAAATCTTTGTTCTCATTTTCTTTTCGTCTCTTTCCCACTTTTCAGTCGCTTCATTTCATGCGTTCACCAATCTTAGAAAATGCGGCAGATATTTGGATTTTGTTGCTAGAACTAACGAAATTCTTAAGCCTATAAAATTGCCTTAAAAACATAGTACAAACTGAGTGAGTACTTTTTGTGACCTTGTTCTTTCGCAAAGAACTAGCTCTAGAAAAAATTTGGACTTTTCATCGATATATCAGCCAAACGGCTCTCGAAATGCAACGCTATTTCTCAAGCAAACTTGTTAATACTCATCTTTATAGTGAAATCCTATTGAAAAGCTGTGAAAAGCTGGCTACGTTTAGGCAGAAAAAGTTCGATTCTTTGAAATCGAAAGATTCAACACGCTTTTAGATACAATCGACACAATTCTCGTCACATTGCCATTCAGTAGTGTGGCCACGAATCATACTCGTGATCGATAGAGTTTACAGCAAATGGGAGCACTTGGGCTTGAAATAAAGATGAATCAGCAATAGTTTTCACAGTACAAACCTTTTTGAGCCGATCTCTTATGTGGACTTGAAAGAACGGGGGACTAAATATCAAACTTTTATTCACACTAACCCGGGGGTGGGACAAAGGTGCACCTTTTTTTTGCGCACCCGACCAAAAGCGCACCTTTTTTTTCGCTGGAAAAGGCCTTAGAAAAGGCCGTAGAGCTTTAAAAATGTTTACACATAGGGGAATCATATGCGTAGATTCCGAATTTCGACAAATTAGAACTCGCTGACACGTCAAATTTGGGCTAAGAGGCAAAAACTGCGGAAAAGCGTTAAGTTGCGTAGTTTTTGCCTCTTAGCCCAAATTTGACGTGTCAGCGAGGTCTGATTTGTCGAAATTCGGAATCTACGCATACGATTCCCTTATGTGGAAACATTTTTAAAGCTCTACGGCCTTTTCCAGCGAAAAAAAAGGTGCGCTTTTGGTCGGGTGCGCAAAAAAAAGGTGCACCTTTGTCCCACCCCCCACTAACCCTGACAATTTTCGTATACTCTTCAATCTCTGCATCTCATTTTTCTCCACCGAACAGAATATGCGGTCATATTTTTACAGGGCAATACTTTGAGATGTACAAACTTCTGTCTTTAGTTGATTTTTAGCTTCTGAATAGGCTTGTATCTATGTTATTGCCATTTCAGAAATTCATGATGCCAATGTTTCAAAAAGAAAGACTCGTTTCAGCGGCTAAAGCTACTAGTTCTTCTTGGGGGTTTTCTAGCCAAAAAAGTCACGAGTCGAGTCACCGAGTTACGACTTTAAAAAGTCGAGTCACTCAAGTCAGGGTGACTCGACTCGACTCCATGTCTATTGCAAAGTAATTTCATTTTTTTTTATCTAAAGCTATTTGCTGAGCAATTGGTGAAAAAGATGAAAAGCCCAAACTTTCGAATAGCAACAATATGTAGTTTCTTTGCAAAAATGCTGAATAACTTGAAAGATTGGCGCATAAATAAGTGCAAGTGCGGAAATTTTTCATTGTTGCTCAATGAGCCGGTGCGCTTATTTCATCATTATTCTACTGTCTTACTATCCTAGACCAAATCTCGTATTATTAGTTTTGTTAGGATTGAAAAGTTGAAAACTAGCTATGTTTTTACATAAATTTCGGAATAATGGGACGTTTAGCATTGTTAGGTTATAGCTTTTCACTGCCGAAACCGGAAGTGGGACAAATGCGACCTTTTTTTGCGCACCCGGACATTTGCGCACCTTTTCTTCCGCACTTAGCCCATTAGCACACCTTTTTTCGCGTTTTAAAAAAGCTTTAAAAGCTAATATTAACCAATTTCTATTCCAAAAGTTGTTTTTCTAGGTAATTTTAGGGCGTAGAATCGAGATTTTGGCATATCAGAGCTTGTGGAAGCGAACGGACGGAGTTATACAAAGAGAAAACTCAACAATTTCTGTAATTTGACTTAGCCGTTTTGTCTTTCAAATTGGTTTCACACGCTCTGTTATGTCAAAATTTGAATGCGACACCCTCAAATTACCTAAAAAACAACTTTTGGAATAGAAATTGGTTAATATTAGCTTTTAGAGCTTTTTTAAAACGCGAAAAAAGGTGCGCTAATGTGCCAAGTGCGGAAAAAAAGGTGCGCAAATGCCCGGGTGCGCTAAAAAAGGTAGCATTTGTCCCACTCCCCCGAAACCTATTACCTTTCTTGTTTCGTTATTTTTGTTGATTTGTTGAAGCTAATAACCTAATTTTTTAGATAAAGATGGATATTCAAGAGAAACGTGTAGAGACAAAGGAAAAGAGTGAAGAAAAGAACGTCGAACAAGCGAATAATCCGTCGAACGATCCTCCGGGAGGTCAGCATTTTTATGTTATTGCCTAGACTTTTGATAATTAAAATGATATGGTTATAAGCAATTGGGTTGTAAGTACAAGATACAGCTAATCTCCGGAGTTTTGATTTACGCGATTTTGTTAACAAATTTTAACGGTTGCTGCAACTGTCACTACCTTAATGCAATAATTTATGTTTAGACAAAAATATTTTCCATCATACAATGTGCAAAACTTTAAGTTCAAGTTTTATTATATCAATCTTTTTTTTTCTTTTAGGTGGCCGTTACAACTTTCGCAGACGCGTTGCAACAATCAAGGCTGAGAAATCGGAAGACGTTGTCTCGACCTCGCAAATCAATTTGACTCAAAAGAGAAAGGATTTTTCCGGTCTGCCTCGCCATCTACAAGAACTGGTGCTCTTGAAGACTAACGTCAACACGCGATTGCAGCTCCTTCAAACCAACAAACAGCTGCTGAAATGGACACGTCAAGAAGGATTATTCCCTCGCGATTTGGAGAAGCTTTCGCTCCACTACGGTACAATGTTGCTGACGACGCGCGACCTGCAATTGTACGAGTTGAAAGGAAAACGCAGACGGTTAATCAAGTCGACGCGGATTGCTCGCTTACTGGAGGTACAATTCGAGCAAGGTAACTTCGAGATGCGCACTGCGTTGCCACACCTGGCCATGGTGTTTGATGCAAAGGTCTACGTGGCGTCATTTGAAAAGTTTCGCGCAACTTTTCTGGACACGTCTTTCAAGATCCGCCGAGCGTTGCTTTTTGAATTTTCTTATCTTGATGAACAACTGGTGAACACTACTGCTCAAGATGTCGAAAGTATGCTCCAGTTTATTGACCAACACAATGACGGTGTCAAGTTCATCGACTTCGACCTTTTCCCGCTGAAAAAAGTGTTTGATTGGTTGAAGACGCAGCGCTTTCATTTCGCAAGTTTTGCGATGCCCGATTGGGGGTTTCCTGCGTTCGAAGAGGCACTCAACTTGGTGCTTAAGGATGGAGTGCCAGGTGTAGGCGATAATACAATTCTTGCTTTACGCCTTTTCGATGATTCAACTGGTGCAGTAAATGTCATGAGAATCATCACCAACAAAAAGCCAATCATCGTCTCTCAAACGACCGCGATTTATCAACAATTCCGTAGTGCGCTTCGCGATGCGCCTGAATCAATGCAGCCCTGGGCTATGAACCCCGAGACGCTCGGTTTCAAGCAAGAGTTCGACAAGGAAAAGAATCTCGTCTATCTCATAAATCAAGAAGATGACGAACTTTGTTTGCTGATCAAATTTGAGCCAATTCTAGCTCCAATTGTTCCTTTTGTTGTTTAGTTGTTGTTACGCTTACCCTTTATGATTTATTTTACTAAAATTTTGCTTCTTTAATAAACCGGATATTGTTTGAAGAAAAGTGTGGAGAGCATTGGTAATTAAGACAACGAGAGGCATTTATAAATTGGTTAAATCTATTTGAAATGTGAAGACCGAAGACTTTTTATAAGACTCAACCTTGCACATGTTGCATGAATCATCTTGTGATCGACTTGAAAACCAACGAACCGAAGTACAAAGAGAAAGTGTTTCTTTTGAATTCCCCGACTGTGCTCCCGGATTCGTTGAACACAAAAGGTGCGCCAATGAAAAATGAGTGAATAATTCGATCAATTTCAGTACCCATCCTCCACTGGTTGATGAGTCTTCACAATATTTGCCTGTAGAATGGATCAATTTACCATCTTTAGCAATACCCGATGGTGCGCACCATGCCGAAAGCGGTTTGTGTATTGTGTGTTTAGTAAAATAGTTCATTGACAGACGTCTTGTATTTTCTGCTCCCTTCGAGAGAGGATGCTGAAAAAGCGTTTTTGGGATTTCATGTTATTGACAAATCGATGCAAATGTGAGAGAAAAGTTGTGTCAACCAACCCGTCTTTTTATTTTTTCTAAGAGTTGGTTTTTCGGCTTGACGTTGTTACCAGGAGTATCGTTAAAAAATTCCTCTTTCGGAGCTTTGAAGGCAAAACTACACAGTCATATTTCAATGGAAGAGATTTTTCGAAGGTTTGTTTGATCAGATTATTTCCATAAAGTGTTTTATTAGATCGAAGTACTTTCGCAGATGTACCAAAACTTGGTTGACGTGCTCGAAGAAGATTTAACCGATGGCCAATCGCCTATAATAGGTAATGCTTTGAGTTTTGAAAACAATAAATACAAATTTAGATACATCGGCGAGAGTTTGTGTTTGTGAAAAAGTTTAAACATGGATCTTTGCTACTTTTCAAGTTGATTTTGTTAGAGAGAAAGGTAAAATGTTGTGCAAGTAGCCCTGAAGGACTTCAATTTAAGGTTGTATTTAACATGTTTCCTGTTGGTGATACTATGCTGGCTCTATTGTCGTTATTTCCAAGTTGGTGATCAATACTGATTTTAAATAAGTTTTTGAGGAATGATCGAGGAAGGATTGTTTCACGCGGCATCTCCCTGTCAGCAGCTAGATGAATGCCACAAGGAATCCAAATCATCGGATACTCATGAAAGTATTGTTGAAGACACCGGAGATCGCGCAATAACAAAGGATCAGTTCTCTAAAAGGGCTCGTGTATATACGATTGGTGCTACAATTCACTTATTCATTCAAAATCGCTAGCACGTAGATGTTATTGTGACAGTAAGTTTATTGATAAAAGCAACATATCCCGAGCTTAAAAAACAAGTAAGTGCATTTTAGTTTTTTCGAAGCTTCATTTGTAATTTAACTTGTACTTACAACCAGTGATTTATGCTTTTATGATTATTTGCTCAAGAATATAGCACAAAAGAAAATCCTTGAAGCGGGTGGGTTTGCGTGCGTCATTTTGACAAAATTTATCACTTTTTAGCTTGGGAAAGAAATGAAATGATTCGACTACAATTCCGAAATTATTGATTGTCTTTGGCAGCATCAGTTTGTAATAAATTGCGGGTAGAATTCGATGGTTTGGTCCACTCAAGATTTTAGAATATAGTCGCCGATTTTGGTTCGTCGCTTATTTCGGCTTGGCAAAAACTCTTAACTTTCAAGTATAGATGGTTTCGCCAACGTTTTGATACCTCCAGGGTTTGTTTTTTTTTGCGTATGACTTTGTGACGAGTTTTTAGTCATATGTTTTCGGGCCAGGTTGGAGTGCGAGACATTGGCATGTTGATGGAGCACGCTGTTCATGGTAGCGATGGAGCTAAACGTTTAGCATGTATGCATACAACACTGGTCGAAATTTAGGGAAGCAGGTAAATAATACTTTGGTTTGAAAATACTATATTGTATTTACAATCCATTTAATGTGCCTTTAAGGAACTAAAGTGGAAGAATCGTTTACCACTTGGATCCACGGAGCTACCTCCACCATAGGCCAAGCAGCAGGACAACTACAGGTGAAAAGAACTGGTAATGTGGTGATTGAAATAAGTAACTGTGTTTAGGGTCAATGGTGGTTTCAAACTCGAGGGAAAATGTTGAAACTGATGACGTGGTCAATAATGCCGTAATGCCGTTGAGGCCAAAGAAAGATAGCATTAGTATTTCGTTTATGCTGTCATTTATGAATTTGTTTTATTTAGCTCGAAAGAAAAAATAAAGAAAGAAATGTAGGTTACGATCCTATAAACCATTTAATACTTTTCTTAGAAACGGCTGGACGAATTTTCAAGCTAAATTTACCATCAGATAGCTTAAAAGAGAGCGCATTTTTATCACCTATGTCTGTAGGTTGAACCGGTGACCAATTTTCCCGAAACGGAATTTCCGAAATTTAGTAGAGCTGAATATGTTCTTGAGTAAATTTCTAAACGTCGACATTATGATCTTAAAAAAGAGAATTTAATAATTCAAATAAATGATAAAAGTTGTTGGAAGATTAAAAGTTAAACAAGATGATAAGTATGTGAAAGAGGTGCTCTTCAATTACAGTATTTACGGTAGTGATCTTGGCTTTGGGCTTGAATAGATTTCGATTGGATTATCCGCACATCCTTTGTACCAGCTTCAAAATTGAGCCACCTTTCGGACTCGACAAAGAGACAGTTCTCTGACCAAATCTAGCAAATGAACCAAGCATAAAACTGAGATCATGTCATATTTTGGGATGCTAATTTCTAGTTCATTACATGTTTAACCCGTGGGTGTATTGCTACTATTTCTGTTCCCCTTTTGGAGCCAAGATTTCACCTGCTTTCCATTCACAAACTAAATTTTTGAACAAAAACAACAATTTGCTCATCTTCACCTCGAAAATCATTCAAATTTTGATTTAAATGATTCAAAATTTCGATCGATTTCACTTTTTCCTAGTATTTTTTCATTTTCACTTTTTTTCAATGCTTTAAGCCAATCATCCTCAAACAAGCAAAGTTTATTTTTTGTAGGTTACAACACACCTGTTCCAAAAGATTGAGCAAGGCACCTGAGAAAATTACAATTCCAAGAAAAGGTTTTTGATTTATCACTGTTTGCTTCTTTTTAACTTTTCATAACTTATAGTTTAAAAGTTATAGACGTTAAATGGTGCTCTTTTCCCAAACACCCTTACAAGCGCAAATCTTCCATATTGTCTACGATATTTCCGGCGTTATGTCAATATTACTCAGCGCTCTCACACTGTATTTACTCTCCAATACCAAGAAGTTATCAAAAATTTATCTTTATCTGCAAGTGGCTATTGTGGTGGGTTGACTTGCTAGTGAACTGTAGTAGCTGGCTCTCAAAATCATTTGTCGTACTTGCACCCGGGGTACCCGGGGACTGACTTAACACAGGGATTCTCCAATTCATTGGTCTGTAAGCCGGGTCAGGCTCGAATTGGGTATTGAAAACATTGAAAATTGTCTCGAATGGTTCCTTATAGTATGAGATGCCTTAAACCATCATTTGGACAGGCGCAAAGTCCAGAGCCAGTTCTGAGCTTGGTTCTACTACAATCCTGACTCGCAACAGTACTTAGGCTTGCTAAAAGCTGGACCTGCTGGCCCCCTTTGGCTTTGCCTGGCCTAGTCTGGATTACAAGACTTAGGGCGCAGTTGGATTATCATTAGTGCTTTAATGAGAATGTAGAGTATATAGGTAGATAGTTTTTAAATAAGGTGCTAAATTAACTTTTAAATTTCAGTGCGTTTCATCCTTCTGTGATTTTGTCTTGTGTATCACTCAGCCGATCATTCTCATGCCCTACCTCGCTTTCACCTCAACTTCGCCATTTCGATGGGTTCAGCTGAACATCACAATGGCTAAAACTCTTACAGTAAGCTTACAATTCTTTGAGTTATCAGAACGAAATTGCCATCTCAGGGTCTCTACATTTGCGGTGAGCTATTACTTGTTTATTTCCTGACAGCCACTCTGCATTCGCGAATTTATTTTCTCAAACATGGAGAGCTCGAGAAGAAAATCTTTTCCCGGGGATTTATACAAACCACTTTGTGTATAATGGCCTTATCAATCTTTGGTTTTATTATCGTGGAGGGTGTACCATTGTACGATTTGGATATGATTCAAAATGAGGTTTTTGTGTAGGTATTTCGACTTTCAACAACATCTATTTTAGAGTATCAGTGTTTATGGAAGCGGGGTGTATAAGCTGTCGATGATTGTCGGCGAGTTCGGGTTTCAACTGCTTGGAATCGACGATAAGGTGGGTTGATAAGTACTGTAATAGATAAGGCCGATCAAGTTTACCAAGAATTTTCAAATTATAGATATTTGAGCTCAAAGTTAGATTGCCAATGACAAAGGTGGTGGGGCGCGTATAAAAGGTCCCTTTGCCATTGGCAATTTAACTTTAAGCTCAAATATCTTGGTGTTGAGGTGTTCAATTTAAGGAGTTTTTGTATCATTTGATGCGCCAAGTTTTTCTCTGTCGATTGGTACAAAAATTATTTAAATTGAACATCCCAACATCAAGATATTTGAGTTCAAAGTTGGATTGCCAATGGTAAAAGGGGAGGGGCACGGGTCAAATGTCCGATAACCATCTGGTCTACAAGAAAACCAGATCAAGACTTGGCTTTTGATCAGATTCTGACCTGGCAAACGTTTGGCACAAACAGGTAGTCAGAAACCAAACCTGGCTTCTGGCAATTTAAAAACCAGTTGTGTACTAGGCTTGCTGCAAAGCTAGGCCAGTCACATCAGAGAAGACCAGAAAATTTATCAGAATCTGGCTAACAAGAAATAAGATCAAGTACCGTTCTACAACCTTGCTTTGTGAATTATTGACCTTTTGAAAAGTCTTGAATCGTTTGACAAACCATTTTTCAGAACAATGACTCCATAATGGAAGGGACAATCCCAGCCGAGCTTCTCCTTTATATGCAATTCACGCCTAACACTTACTATTGGGTTACGCCAAACTCTTGGACGTCGAGGGGCGGAATTTTGGTCATTCTACTGATCACCGCTTTTGTCATCGAAGAAGTCTACATTGTAATCTATATTTTGTGTCTGATTCACAAAATGAAGAGCAAAGTGCGCAGCAAGCAGGCTCGGCAGACACAGATCGGCTTTGTGAGGATATTGTTGATGCAGGTGAGTGAATGAGTGAATTAGGACCAGAAATTAGATGATCCAAATAAATAAAGACAATTTTTAGTATATGGTTTTTGTTATTTTCTATATCACGCCCGTGATTTTGCTCTCAACGAAGATTGTGGGCAGCGATATACTTCCGGATTTATGTAAGTAATTTTGATGTGTTTTCTAAAACGGGTCAATTTACGAAACTACTAATCTAGTTTTATTCAAGTCATTGCTTTTGTATCTTCCGCATTCTTTCTAAACCTTTAAAGAATCAACTGACAAATTGGGGTACTGTAAGTAAGCAAGGAGTACTCTAAGTAAGCAAGGAGTACTGTAAGTTTTGGAAGATTGGGATTTGGAAATTTACCAGAAGATTTTACCCTTATACCGTATTCTCTCTAATAGTAGTGCACCCTGCCGAGCCGAGTTGATGACTATTTTACGGTGTCTAAGTTTTCGCAGCAGCTCAACACTCTAATCCCCCACTAGATCTCATCGTCAGCTACATTTTCCGACCCAACATCGATAGGTTCTGATAAGCGGTTCTCGAGATTTCGAGCAATTTAGGCGATCAGGGTGCACTACTATTAGAGAAAATACGGTAGTTCGTTTTTATTGATAAGAATCAAACATTTCATTTCAGTGCCTTCACTAGCAACACTATACGTGAGTTGGCATTCAACTGGGAACTGCCTGATTCTCATCTTCGGCTCGAAACCGTTGCGGGATGTCTTGGTTAAGAAGCTTATGCCTCACTGGATAAAAGTGAAAGGTATGTCAGAGCCGCTCTAGATTAATCCAGTACTATAATCTATAATCAATTTTTCAGTCAAAATTACATTCTCCGAACCGTCACAAACTCTTGGAAGCACGTACCAGCAAAACAGTTCTGGACAACGATTGAGCAAATTTACGCTCACTGAAGCGAGGAAAAAGTACTTTCGGGATGGTTTGACTCGTTTAAGAAATATTTTAAAATTTCTCAGGTAAATTGAAAAGTAATAAATAAAAATAGATGTTGTTTTGCATTAATCATTTATATCATTTATATGCGAGTCATTTATACAGACATTGGACACATAATCAAGAAAACAGAATAGTTTTTGTCGCTTACAGTCCACCGAGCAAGTCACCGAGACCCCTGGAATTGAATTGGTTTTAATTATTTGGAAACAGACTCACAATCCATTGGTGAGTCCACCAACAACTCCGGTAAGACCTCCAAGTCCTCCAGTGAGTCCACCAACTCCACCTAGACCTCCAGTCAATCCACCAAGAGCATCAAGTCCGGGAAGGACACTGAAATTGAATGAATGAGATATTTTGAGATCAAGAATTACACAAGAAGTTTCCCAAGAAGTGGCTCGATCAATCCCTCGAGGAGTTGGCACACCAAATCCTGGACTGATTGGAGGAGACCGATTTGTTGAATTAGTGAATCATCAACCAAAGACCAAACGGGTGAAAGAACTCCAGTCAGAACTTGAAGACAGAGACCCGAGTAGAGATTTGATTCACCGGTCAACAATCCGGAGAGAAGATATTGCACATCGACTTCCAGTTCCAATCCACATGGACCCATTGGGACGAGGACGACTGAGGGAAGTTCGAGACCGCCCTAGAATGGAGTTTACGGGATATTGAGTGATGAATCGAATACCTTGAGGATCTGCAAGTGTTGGATGGTGTATTTGTTGAATTGTGTTCCATTCACAGTCTCGACAGTCTTGGTCAAGATGTTCACGTGGCTGACTAAATGATTGGCATGATCTTTCTTCTCTTCTCACTGAAACTCACTGAAATCCAAGATACAATCCAATACTTGAAGATCTGGAATGAGTGGGCATTTACAAGTTCCATTCACATTTGGAATTGGAATCTTGGGAGTAACAGTTGGAAGAGTGACTGACGGGACGGACACCGGGGGAAGACTTCCAGCTAATAGTGGAGTGGCCAAGAAAGCCATGATGAAGACTGAAGTGGTCATTTTCTCGGAATGAGTTGAGAAATGAATTGGAATGTGGTGGAGGTGGTGATGATTCGGTTTTGAACCCGACTTTTATAGTAAAACAAGTTGGTCAAAATATTTTCTCAATCAACGTCTGATCAAAAAGTCAGAGTTTTGGATAGAGAGTGATCGAAAACATTTTAGCACGAACACTTTATTGAAAAGCTGTCTGATCTAACTATTAGCAACTTGTTTTGCCACCAAAATTTCCATATTGATGATTGAACGGTAGAGAATAATGAGAGTTGTTTTGAATGATGTTTCCATGAAATTTGGAGCTATTTTGGTCATCCATTGGTCACACAATATGGAAATTCAGTCACAACACGAATCAGACTGTTTTTAATAAAATAAACTCGATTGTGTTATCATCAAGGTTCAAAATATTTTGACCAACTTCTTTTACTATAAAAGTCGAGTTCAAAACCGAATCATCACCGCCTCCACCACATTCCATTTCATTTCTCAACCGATATTGAGAAAATGACGACTTCAATCTTCATCATCGCCTTCTTGGCCACTCCACTTTTAGCTGGAAGCCTTCCCCCGGTGTCCGTTCCGTCAGTCACTCTTCCAACTGTTACTCCCAAGATTCCAATTCCGAATGTGAATGGAACTTGTAAATGCCCACTCATTCCAGATCTTCAAGTCTTGGATTGCATCTTGGATTTCAGTGAGTTTCAATATGAGTAAGGAATTCTAGCTTACCAGACAAGACACAGCAAGTTAGGATAACTGCTTTGACTTAAGTGATATTGTTGTCTTTAGTCAGCCACGTCAACATCTTAACCAAGACTGTCGAGACTGTGAACGGAACACAATTCAACAAATACACCATCCAACACTTAGAGATTCTTAAGGTATCTAATTCATCACTCAATATCTCATAAACTCCATTCCAGGGTGGCCTCGAGCTTCCCTCAGTCGTCCTCGTCCCAATGGGTCCATGTGGATTGGAATTGGAGGTTGATGTTGAATATCTTCTCTCTGGATTGTTGACCGGTGAATCAAATCTTTACTCGGGTCTCTGTCTTCAAGTTTTGACTGGAGTTCTTTCACCCGTTTGGTCTTTGGTTGATGATTCACTCATCAAACAAATCGGTCTCCTCCAAACAGTCCAGGATTTGGTATGTCAACTCCTCGAGGGATTGATCGAGCCACTTCTTGGGAAACTTCTTGTGTAAGTCTTAATACAGAAATCTGTCATTTATCTCATTTCAGTGTCCTACCCGGTCTTGATGCTCTTGGTGGTTTGACTGGAGGTCTTGGTGGAGTTGGTGGACTCACTGGAGGACTTGGAGGTCTTACCGGAGTTGTTGGTGGACTCACCAATGGATTGTGAGTCTGTTTCCAAATAATTAAAACCAATTCAATTCCAGGGGTCTCGGTGACTTGCTCGGTGGATTGTAAGCGACAAAAACTATTCTGTTTTCTTGATTATGTGTCCAATGTCTGTATAAATGACTCGCATATAAATGATTTAAATGATTCATGCAAAACAACATCAATTTTTATTTATTACTTTTTAATTTATCTGAAAAATTTTAAGATATTCCGTAAACGTGCCAAACCATCCGGAAGGTACTTTTTCAACAGAAACAAGAACAGAACAGAAAAGCTGGAGCTTTTTGATCTTTTGAACATCTTGATTTGAATTTCTGGCTGTCTGATTAATTTGGACTACTTAAAGCCAAACTTTTCAAAAAACCGAGTAGCCAAATTATCATTTCAGCCATCATTTATCAACTAACTCAACAGTGCCAGGAAACAAATGGAAGACCTGTACAATTCAGATGCTTATGGGAATGCAATGATTGGTCAGCTTGCAGAAAAATGTCAGAATTTATTTGAAAGGTTTTGGGTGAACATTCGATCTTACAAGGGAAGGCCAACTGGGTGGCCAAATTCTATGCGAGCTATACCATTCAAAGCGAAATTTTATGCTGATTCCGAATCTGCTTTCCATTTTTGCTGCACGTTATTCTGCCAGGTGTTATAAGCGTCTAAAGTTTTATTAGGACTCTAAAAATGTGGTCATTTGGGTCTTAGCGACCTCCTTTCGGACCCATTTCAGTGCAGCCGTGGCTGAGTGGTACATCGTTTCAGAGCGAGACCTCACAAGTTCGATCCTCACTTTGGTTTTGGCTTTTTCCTTTTTTCAAGAAGTATTGACTAATGTTCTTTAGCCTTAGCTTTGGACGCTTTTAACTTTTGGCAGATTGTAATTTAGAAGGGGGGAAAGAAAAGAAACAAATGAAAAAGCTAAAGTGGAGATCGAACTCGTGAGGTCTCGCTCGGAAAACGAACGCCGTACCACTCAGCTACAGCTGCACCGAATCGGTCCGCAAGGAGGCCCCTAAGACCCAAATGACCACCGCCAATGGAGTGAATATTTGGCCCCTAAGACCCATTCAGAGTCCTAACAAAACTTTGTAACTCCTGGTAGATTGACATTTAGCAAAAACGGAATACAGATTCGGAAACAGCAAAAAATTCTGCGCGAATGGTAGAGGTTGCTTAGAATTTGGCCAGCCAGTTGACCCTCCCTTGTTAGTTGAATAATAAAGAATCTTATAGATTTCCTTAATTCTAATTATTAGTTTATGGGCTGAGTGATTCGTTTATTGGAGTAATCAAGGGATTGAATGGAACATGGATATAGGACGATGGAAAACCGCTAGCATATCAAAATTGGCATACAGGTGACCATGACCATACAGCCTTCTAAATCATGTCAACTCCCGAAAACTACCGTAATCTTGACGCATCTTATTTTGATATCCGTGTTTCCAACAAAATGCCCAAAAAGAATTGATTGGCTACAAGTTAGAGCCAAAAGTTGTCACATTATAGAAAACTCAGCACTTGAAAAGGACAATCATTTCCAGGCTAACCACTTTCCGATACAGATTGTGCTGTTATCCAGTCACCTGTCGTTGGTGGTCTGCTAATTGTAGCTCAACAAATCCTGTGATTTGTTAAACAATATCATATTAGACAGGAATCTTTGCAAATCAACGCATAACAAATTAATTTTAGATTGCCCCGATGATTGGGAAGAATTCCAAGAAAACTGTGACTATTTTTCAGTGAGTGGGTTGAATCCAAAGCTAGAACTAAAGTTCTCTTTACATTTAAATGGCAAATTTCGGGATCCAAACTTGATGCATCCCAGTCGAACCTTCAACACCTCAGAAGCTGAACAATTGTATCAGAATATGGACTCTCATCTTGTTTCCAGACACAATCAGATCAGTGCAAATATTTGACAGGTATTTGGAAGCGTGATGGGCATTTTTGTAGACCATCAAACTGTCAATAGCAACTTATTTATCATAACAATCCTTGTCATTAAAAAATCCAAATCCCTAATTGAAAGCATCATATATTTTATAAAAATAAAAACGGAAAAACTTGGAAATATATGATGCTTGGGAACTTGAACTTTTTTCAGTTTCAGAGCAAATCACGACAGAAATTATTATATCTCAATTGGCTGTAATGTGGCACAGGCTGTGATCGGGTTGACATGTAATGGTTCTTTTTATGATCACAATATGACAAAGATCTGGCTTGATGATACACCATATGACTACAACAAAGCTCCAAGCTGCTCAAAGGCTTATGGGGTTTGGACAATTTTTAATCATTAATGAGGAATTTTAGATCATCAAGTGTTGTCCTAATGTTTTTTTTAGCTCTGGAAATCGTGCACCTGAATACACAAACTTTTACCGATAAATTTCCAAAAATAAAGTATAGCTATTATTAATTGTTGACCAATACAATCCCTTTTAAGCAATTCAAATGAAACATTGCAAATGCAAACCATTTATGCAGACATTGGGTACATAATGTAACAGTCAAAGGATCAGAAGAAATTTCACGAGCAAGTTGATTGCCTCTTACTATTAGCGTTTACAATCCACCGAGTAAGTCACCGAGGCCCCTGGAATTCAATTGGTTTTGATTATTCGGGAACAGACTCACAATCCATTGGTGAGTCCACCAACAACTCCGGTAAGACCTCCAAGTCCTCCAGTGAGTCCACCAACCCCACCAAGACCTCCAGTCAAACCACCGAGAGCATCAAGACCGGGTAGGACACTGAAATTGAATGAATGGGAGATTTCTGGATCAAGACTTACACAAGAAGTTTCCCAAGAAGTGGCTCGATCAATCCCTCGAGGAGTTGACATACCAAATTCTGGACTGTTTGGAGGAGACCGATTTGTTGGACGAGTGAATCATCAACCAAAGACCAAACGGGTGAAAGAACTCCAGTCAAAATTTGAAGACAGAGACCAGAGTAGAGATTGGATTCACCGGTCAACAATCCAGAGAGAAGATATTCAACATCAACCTCCAATTCCAATCCACATGGACCCATTGGGACGAGGACGACTGAGGGAAGCTCGAGGCCACCCTGGAATGGAGTTTATGAGATATTGAGTGATGAATTAGATACCTTAAGAATCTCCAAGTGTTGGATGGTGTATTTGTTGAATTGTGTTCCATTCACAGTCTCGACAGTCTTGGTCAAGATGTTCACGTGGCTGACTAAATGATTGGCATGGTCTTTCTTCTCTTCTCGCTGAAACTCACTGAAGTCCAAGATACAATCCAATACTTGAAGATCTGGAATAAGCGGGCATTTACAAGTTCCATTCACATTCGGAATTGGAATCTTTGGGGTAACGGTTGGAAGAGTGACTGACGGGACGGACACCGGGGGAAGACTTCCAGCTAATAGTGGAGTGGCCAAGAAAGCGATGATGAAGATTGCAGTGGTCATTTTCTAGGAATGATTTGATAAATGAAATGGAATGTGGTGGAGGCGGTGATGATTCGGTTTTGAACTCTGCTTTTATAGTGGCTAGTTCAAGCAAAATATTTTGTTCAATCATCATTTCTGATCATAGTGTCAAATATAGAACATCGGTCAAAACAGCTCATTTTTGGTTTGATCATTTTATGGAAAAGCTGTCTGGTCTGATCTTGTTTTGATATAAAAATTTCCATATTGCGATCGCTCGGATTGAACGGAGAGAGAACAATGAGGGCTGTTTTGGACGATCTCTGACTGGGTTGATGTCTATTTTGATTCTCTAAAAAAGGAGATAATGTAATAACTAAAATTGAGGCTGACTTCAGTAAGTTATACAGTAATCCTACTATAATAATCAATAACAATCTGACAATAGGGTTCATTTTTGGGAGAAAAATATTTCTCTTTGTTCATTTTTATGTTCATTCAAAAAAGGCTCATTGAGCAATAAAGAAATTTCTCCGTCAAAACACCCAATCGTTTGAATCAGACTGTTTTCAAAACGAACTCATAGTCAGCTTTTCGTAAGCTGATCACCAATCATGGTTTAAAAATATTTTGACCAAGTTTGGCACTATAAAAGATGGCACTGGAAAAGCATCACATCCAACCATTACATTCTCATTTCTCTACTCATTCCGAGAAAATGACCACTTCAATCTTCATCATCGCTTTCTTAGCCACTCCACTATTAGCTGGAAGTCTTCCCCCGGTGTCCGTCCCGTCAGTCACTCTTCCAACTGTTACCCCAAAGATTCCAATTCCAAATGTGAATGGAACTTGTAAATGCCCGCTTATTCCAGATCTTCAAGTATTGGATTGTATCTTGGATTTCAGTGAGTAACGAATAGGAGAAAGATCATGTCAATCATTTAGTCAGCCACGTGAACATCTTGGACAAGACTGTCGAGACTGTGAATGGAACGCAATTCAACCAATACACCATCCAACACCTGCAGATCCTCAAGGTATTCAATTCATGACTCAATATCTCATAAACTCCATTCCAGGGTGGCCTCGAACTGCCCTCAGTCGTCCTCGTCCCAATGGGTCCATGTGGATTGGAATTGGAGGTTGATGTTGAATATCTTCTCTCCGGATTGTTGACCGGTGAATCAAATCTCTACTCTGGTCTCTGTCTTCAAATTTTGACTGGAGTTCTTTCACCCGTTTGGTCTTTGGTTGATGATTCACTCATCAAACAAATCGGTCTCCTCCAAAGAGTCCAGGATTTGGTATGTCAACTACTCGAGGGATTGATCGAGCCACTTCTTGGGAAACTTCTTGTGTAAGTCTTAATACAGAAATCTGTCATTTATCTCATTTCAGTGTCCTTCCCGGTCTTGATGCTCTTGGTGGTTTGACTGGAGGTCTTGGTGGAGTTGGTGGACTCACTGGAGGACTTGGAGGTCTTACCGGAGTTGTTGGTGGACTCACCAATGGATTGTGAGTCTGTTTCCAAATAATTAAAACCAATTCAATTCCAGGGGTCTCGGTGACTTGCTCGGTGGATTGTAAGCGTGAACACCAAGAAGCAATCAACTTGCTGGTGAAATTCCTCAATCAACACTACTTTTTT